CTGCCGGCTGGCCTCGCGTGTCGGTGCCCCGGGCAGGCCCCGCCGGGCGCCGGGAAGCCCAGCGTCTTCCCGGGTGTGGAGGGGACAGCTCTCCCTCTTCTCGCAGCCTACCGCACGGACGAGGGGAAGCCATGGGTCCTGCCGGTGGTGAAGAAGGTGGAGCAGATGATCGCCAATGACCACAGCCTGAACCACGAGTACCTGCCCATCCTCGGTCTGCCCGAGTTCCGGGCCAACGCCTCCCGGATTGCCCTGGGTGACGACAGCCCCGCCATCAAGGAGAACCGGGTAGGTGGTGGACAGGGAATGAGACTGCTCCTTGCTCAGGAAGCTGCTGGGAACCCCGGGGTGTCTCGGTAGCAGACTGAGCAGAAGAGCATAAATGTGCGGAGTGACTGCGTTCTGGCAGGATTTGGGGATTTCTCTGACATGGTCTTTATTGGTTGTAGGTTACTTGATGAATCCGTGTACTTGAAGCTGATTGAGCAAGTAGTCATAGTTTTTGGGAAAGGCCAAATGTGGGCTGTGACAGGAATTGGTTTTTTCCCTCATTATTTTAAAGGCTGCCCCATGGGAACTGAAGTCAGATCATGGACCACCTTTCCTGAAATAAGCTACTGGCGGGGGAACCTGCTCTGTGCCAAAAAGCAACAGGAATAAACTGGAGTTTATTTATAACTGTAGAAGGCATCAGGACAGGCCTGAGCACCAAAGGAAGCTGAAGACTACTGGAAGGGGATAGTGCCTTGGCTGGGGTGACGCCAGGGAACACGTCTGGGATCCTGTGTTGCTCTCCCAAATGCCACTGTTTGCACCGACTGACCTGGGTGGACCCTGCTGGCAACTCTCTCTGTTGCAGATCGGAAGCGTTCAGTCCTTGGGTGGCACGGGTGCTCTGCGTATTGGCGCAGAGTTTCTGAGGCGGTGGTACAATGGAAACAACAACACAACGACCCCGGTCTATGTCTCTGCTCCATCCTGGGGTGAGTGCTGCCATCAGTGCTGCCACCTCCTCACAGGGAGCCCTGTGGGTCAGCAGGGGAGGGAGGAATGGCAGGAGCCTGAGCAGTGAGAAGGGGCCTTCCCCTTGTGAGTAAAGGGAGAGTAAGTATCTCCATTGTGTTTTGGTGATATTTAGGAAGATACTGGGACTGGAGAAGGTGGCTTGCTGGAGGTGGAGCCTCCTTTTCTGAAAAGTGATTTCTTTCTTCAGAGAACCACAATTCTGTGTTTATGGATGCTGGCTTTAAAGATATTAGAACCTACCACTACTGGGATGCTGCAAAGAGGGGTCTGGATCTCCAGGGGCTGCTGGGTGACATGGAGGTTAGTAAAACTGGCATAGGACAGACTGAGCTTGGTGCTGTGCTCTCAGCACTTGCCTGGGCTATTGCGTGCTCTGCCTGGAATTGGATCTCTGTGAAAGAGACTGCTGGTGCCCAGAGCAGTTTGGGGCCTCTCCCTCTGCTATGGGTGCCCAGTCTCATTCATGTGTGTGACCAAGACCTGCTCTCACTCTCTCTTCAGAAAGCCCCAGAGTTCTCCATTTTCATCCTCCATGCCTGTGCGCACAACCCGACAGGCACAGACCCTACTCCAGAGCAGTGGAAGCAGATTGCTGCTGTTATGAAGGTATGGGCTGCTGCTGGGGCTAAAGCAGTGCTGAGGGAACAGATAGCTCTTGAGCTAGCCAGAGCACTTGTATCCAAAATAGGCTGTAGGGAATTGCATGAGATGTGGCAGGAATTGGAAGAGTCCTGCAGGGCAGGTGTTGAAGAGAGAGGCTGACAGGATGCTGGTTGTCTGCTCAGAAAATAGAATTATCTTAGTTCTGCTCATGCCTCCAAGTTTTTGATTTCAGTAGGGCTTAGGGATATGGTGTAGTTGAGAATGGTCAGTGTTAGGTTAATGGTTGGACTAGATGACCTTCAAGATCTTTTCCAACCTGGATGATTCTGCGATTCTGTGAATTTTCTAACTCTGTGGCATGGACTGCAGTGAGGTTTCTTGGGCTGGAAAGATTTTCCACAGGCACCCGCTTTTCACAGGTGCTGGATAGCAGGTGGTGCATCTCTTGTGCCTGCATCCTCAAATGCAGTTTTCTCCTGCGTTTGACCTTTTATTGACCACTTTAGTCTTCCTATTCTTTTATCCCAGTAGAAAAAAAATGTCCCAGTCTGGTATTGCTGGACCACGTTTCTTTTGTATTCGTCTGGAAGCTCGATGGTCATTTTTTTCCCTCCTGTGGGGACAGTGGGGGGTAAAGTGAAGGCTGTGGGGAAGGGATTTCCCTCTAACACTGTTCCTCCTTGCAGCGCCGGTTCCTGTTTCCGTTCTTCGACTCGGCGTACCAAGGTTTTGCCTCTGGCAGCCTGGACAAGGATGCCTGGGCTGTGCGATACTTTGTCTCCGAGGGCTTTGAGCTCTTCTGTGCACAGTCGTTTTCCAAGAACTTTGGGCTCTACAGTGAGTGTCTGGCAGTAAGCTGGCCCAGTAGCATCATACCTAGACAGATGGGGCTGGCATGCTGGGGGTAGGGAGAGCTCTGCTTTGCCATGAAATGTGGGGCCAATGGCTCACGTCTCTTGGCTCGTCCACAGATGAACGTGTGGGGAACCTGACTGTGGTGGGGAAGGATGCAGACAACGTGCAGCGTGTGCTTTCCCAGATGGAGAAGATTGTGCGCACCACTTGGTCCAACCCTCCCTCCCAGGGAGCGCGGATTGTGGCAACTACACTTTCTTCCCCACAGCTCTTTGCTGAGTGGTACGTGTTGCCAGGGCTGGTGGGAGAGGGAAAGGGGGGAAGCTGTCTCCCTGAGTGCCAGGCTTGGCCAGATGGCTCCAAACCAGACAGGTGCCTGTCCCCACGCTCTGCTTCCTGCCTGCTGCAGGAAGGACAATGTGAAGACGATGGCAGATCGGGTCTTGCTGATGCGGTCAGAGCTCCGGTCTCGACTGGAGTCCCTTGGGACCCCAGGCACCTGGAACCACATCACAGAGCAGATCGGCATGTTTAGCTTCACAGGGTTGAACCGTAAGTACTCAGTGGCCTGGTGAAGGGAGGATTGGGTGAGGACAGTTTTGCTGGGGGTGAACTGGGCTGAAGCGGTCTAGGCAGGAATCTCTTGGGAACGTTGCTGAAGTCCTGGGATCACTGCCTCTGTGGCTTGGCAGGGATGAAGCATCAGACAGCATTTTAGTGGCCAGTGCTTGAAGTTTTCTGCTGGTTATGAAAGATTCAAGCAGCCACAACTGATTCTTTGGGCTTTTCTGAGCTGTGGGGTCACTACTCTGACCTGATATCCAATTGTTTCCCCAGCTAAGCAGGTGGAGTACATGATCAAGGAAAAACACATCTACCTGATGGCTAGTGGGCGCATCAACATGTGTGGCCTGACTACCAAGAACCTGGACTATGTGGCCAAGTCCATCCATGAAGCTGTCACAAAAATCCAATGAAGCCCATGAACAACCAAACTTAACATGAAGTCACCAAAGCCGTAGTGTGTAGTATGTGTCTTTCTGCTCATGGCTTGCCTTGTTCCACACCTCTTGGGGTTTAATAAAGATGGGAATGGTAGCTCAGTCAGGGATAATCATCTTTTGACCTTTTTGAAGTACCCCTTGCACTATGGTAAGCCAGTGCCCCCAAGAGGGTGGGGACAGCATGAGTCACCTTGTCTCTTATTTGACTGACAGCAGCCTGGTCTTCAGGCTCTTAATGCTGCATCTTTATCACATCCAAATCAACTCGTGTAAATGATCAGTTTGATCGAGGCCAGTGCAATGTGCTGTGGGATAACTGCCCAATCAGCTGGGATCTCGTACAGCTTGTCAACTGATATCACTCAGTAGTATTTTGGGGAGGGACGAAGCTGTTGCTGGCTTCCCCCCCCCCCCCC